CTGGCCATAGGATTGTAGGCTGGCACTCCCCAGATCTATGTCTAAAATCCATATATGAGAGAGTACATGCCATGTTTCTCTTTTTGTGACTGGGTTACCTCACTCAGGATGGTTTCTTCTAGTGTCATCCATTTGCCTGCGAATTTCAAGATTTCATTATTTTTTTCTGCTGAATAGTACTCCATTGTGTAGATGTACCACATTTTCTCTATCCACTCTTCGGGTGAGGGACATCTAGGTTGCTTCCAAGTTCTGGCTATTACAAATAAAGCTGCTATGAACATAGTGGAACACACATCTTTGTTGTATGAATGGGCATCTTTTGGATATATGCCTAAGAGTGGAGTTGCTGGGTCTTGTGGTAGGTTTATTCCCATTTTTCTGAGGAATCTCCATACTGATTTCCAAAGTGGCTGAACCAGTTGGCACTCCCACCAGCAATGGAGGAGTATCCCCCTTTCACCACATCCTCTCCAGCATAAATTGTCATTGGTGTTTTTGATTTTAGCCATTCTGACAGGAGTGAGAAGGTATCTCAGAGTTGTTTTGATTTGCATTTCCCGGATGGCTAAGGATGTTGAGCACTTTCTCAAGTGCCTCTCAGCCATTTTAGACTCCTCTATTGAAAACTCTCTATTTAGTTCTGCAGCCCACTTCTTAATTGGGTCCTTTGATGTTTTGGAGACTTGCTTCTTGAGTTCTTTGTAAATTTTGGAGATCAACCCTCTGTCAGATGTGGGATTAGTGAATATTTTTCCCATTCTGTGGGCTGCCTTTTTGTCTTGCTGACTGTGTCCTTTGCCTTACAGAAGCTTCTCAGTTTCAGTAGGTCCCATTTATTAATTGTTGATCTCACTGTCTGTGCTACTGGTGTTATGTTCAGGAAGCTGTCTCCTGTACCAATTTGTTCAAGGGTACCACCCACTTTCTCTTCTAAGAGGTTCAGTGTGGCTGGATTTATGTTGAGGTCTTTGATCCATTTGGACTTAAGTTTTGTGCATGGCGATAAACATGGATCAATCCGCATTCTTCTACATGCCAGTCTCCAGTTATGCCAGCACCATTTGTTAAAGATGCTTTCTTCCATTGTATATTTTTAGCTTCTTTGTCAAAGATCAGATGTTCATACGAGTGTGGGTTAATACCCGGGTTTTCAATTCGATTCCATTGGTCTACCTGTCTATTTTTGTGCCAATACCAAGCTGTTTTCAGGACTATAGCTCTGTAATAGAGCTTGAGGTCAGGGATGGTGATGCCTCCAGACGTTGCCTTGTTGAACAAGGTTGTTTTGGCTATCCTGGGTCTTTTGTTTTTCCATACAAAATTGATTATTGTTCTTTCAAGGTCTGTGAAGAATTGTGCTGGGATTTTAATGGGGATTGCATTGAATCTGTAGATTGCTTTTGGCAGGATTGCCATTTTTACTACATTGATCCTACCTATCCAAGAGCATGGGAGATCTTTCCATTTTCTGAGGGCTTCTTTAATTTCTTTCTTTAAAGATTCAAAGTTCTTACGATACAGGTCTTTCACTTGTTTGGTTAGCGTTACCCCAAGGTATTTTATGTTGTTTGTGGCAATTGTAAAGGGTGATGTTTCTCTGATTTCTCTTTCAGCCCTTTTATCATCTGTATATAGTAGGGCTACAGATTTTCTTGAGTTGATCTTGTAGCCTGCCACTTTGCTGAAGGTGTTAATCAGCTGTAAGAGTTCCCTGGTAGAGTTCTTTGGGTCATTGATGTAAACTATCATATCGTCTGCAAACAGTGAAAGTTTGACCTCTTCCTTCCCAATTTGTATCCCCTTGATCCCCCTTTGTTGTCGTATGGCAATAGCTAGAACTTCAAGTACCATGTTGAAAAGGTATGGAGAGAGTGGACAGCCTTGTTTTGTTCCTGATTTTAGAGGAATTGCGTTGAGTTTCTGTCCATTTAGTTTGATGTTGGCTGTTGGTTTACTGTATATGGCTTTTATTATGTTTAAGTATGTCCCTGTTATCCCAGATCTCTCCAAGATCTTTATCATGACAGGGTGTTGGATTTTGTCAAAGGCTTTTTCAGCATCTAGTGAGATGATCATGTGATTTTTGTTTTTCAGCTTGTTTATATGGTGGATTACGTTGATGGATTTCCGTATGTTGAACCATCCCTGCATCCCTGGGATGAAGCCTACTTGATCGTGGTGAATGATTGTTTTGATGTGTTCTTGGATCCGATTTGCCAGTATTTTATTGAGTATTTTTGCATCAATGTTCATGAGGGATATTGGTCTGAAGTTCTCTTTCTTAGTTGTATCTTTGTGTGGCTTGGGGATCAAGGTTATTGAAGCCTCATAGAAAGAGTTTGGCAAAGACCCTTCTGCTTCTATTGTGTGGAACACTTTGAGAAGAATTGGTATAAGCTGTTCTTTGAATTTCTGGTAGAATTCTGCACTGAGGCCATCTGGGCCTGGACTTTTTTTTGGTTGGGAGACTTTTGATGACAGCTTCTATTTCCATAGGGGTTATAGGTCTATTTAAATTGCTTATCTGTTCTTGATTTAGTTTTGGCAAATGATAGCTGTCCAGGAAGTCATCCATTTCCTTTAAATTTTCAAATTTTTTGGAGTACAGGTTTTCAAAGTATGATCTAATGATTCTCTGGATTTCCTCAGAGTCTGTTGTTATGTCCCCCTTTACATTTCTGATTTTGTTAATTTGTGTGTTCACTCTCTGCTGTTTGGTAAGTTTGGACAAAGGTTTGTCTATCTTGTTGATTTTCTCAAAGAACCAACTCTTCGTTGCATTGATTCTTTGTATTGTTTTTCTGGTTTCTACTTTATTGATTTCAGCCCTCAATTTGATTATTTCCTGGCGTCTACTCCTCCTGGGGGAGTTTGCTTCTTTGTGTTCTAGAGCTTTCAGCTGTGATGTTAATTCTCTGGTATAACTGTTCTCCTGTTTCTTCATGTGAGCACTTAGTGCTATGAACTTCCCCCATAGCACTGCTTTCAAAGTGTCCCATAGGTTTGGGTATGTTGTGTCTTCATTCTCATTGAATTCGAGGAAGTCTTTAATTTCTTTTTTATTTCCTCTTTGACCCAGGGATGGTGCAGTTGAACATTATTCAATTTCCATGAGTTTGTAGGTTTTCTGCAATTTGTGTTGTTGTTGAATTCTAATTTTAAAGCATGGTGGTCTGATAAGATGCATGGAGTTATTCCAATTTTTTTGTAGCTGCTGAGGTTTGATATGTTGCCAAGTATGTGGTCTGATTTTTGAGAAGGTTCCATGTGGTGGTGAGAAGAAGGTATATTCTTTTTTATGTAGATGAAATGTTCTATAGATATCTGTTAATCCCAGTTGGGTCATTACTTCTATTAGACCCTTTGCATTAGGACCAAGCAGAGCAGACAGGAGGATGGCAATAACGGAAGAATCTCAGCTATCCTGGGATCTCAAAGGCCAAACGTGGCAGAAGAAATCGTTCCATGTCAAGATGCCTTTGTTTGGTATGCAAATTCTGGGGATTAGAGGTTGAGTTCATGGGCATAAAGGAAATAGCTTCATGACCAATTTCAGAACTAATTTTGACACCATTTTGCAATAACAAAACAAAATGTATATCAAGAGTGGAAAGAGAAACTTCTGAGCACTCTCTAATTAAGAGGAAAGCAAAGCTCAGGTGAGAAGACATCTTCAAATTAAGCCCACACTGAACGGAGTTCTGTCTGCTTGAGAATATAGGTTTCTTAATCACTTTTGTTTCCTGTGCTTTGGTGTGTTTCTGAGGAGGAGGAATTTCAGCATGAGTTTTCTTGATCTAAGCATTGAGAGCTATAATCAGGTCTAGTGAGCATCATGGGGGACCCTTAATTATTTATGGCAGAAGTTTCCGGATGCTGAGAAAACACAAAGCCTTCTGTGGGTTTCACTGATAAAATGCCAAGAATCTGTCCCTACTTAACTCTTCAGCCTCACCCCTCTGTATTCCTGGGCCCCAGTCACTTCCCGTTTTAGGTATTTGGACTCCTTTTTAAAGTGTTTAGTTGCAGTTATGTCACTCTGGTCAGGTGGTCAGCCGCACTGCTGAGACTTGGCGTCCGTGCCTCTCCCCGTCCTTTGCATTCTTTCTGTATTTTGTGAATATTTGCATTCAGGCATTGCTTGAAACATTGAGTCAAGTTGGCTTCTGCTGGTATCAATCTTGTATTCCTTCATGGGCTTCTGGTAACTCAGAACAAACAAATCATTAGCACAGTGTGTGTAAGCAATCATAGCACATGCATGCAGATGCCCTTCATGGAGTATACACGAACCGTTATGACATAGAATGCACAGGTGTCACCATCAATCCCTTCTGCCCCTACCACAAGGACCACCACAACAGAAGAATATACTTTGTTTGAACACAAAGAAAAGTGTATGCAACTGGAGCATCTCAGAATGGGCAGCTTCCTGGTCCATGGGATGTCCAAACATGGTCCAGCCAATTACATGAATAAGTAGAAGTTGGTCCTCTGGTGTTGTTGTGTCAGACTCTGTGGTGGCTACAGGTTATGGTGCTTTTGTTTGTTTGTTTGTTTGGTTGGTTTTGTTGTTGTTGTTGTTGTTTTTCTGGTGTTTCAAGACAGGGTTTCTCTGTAGCTTTGGAGTCTGTCCTGGAACTTTCTCTGTATACCAGGCTGGCTTGGAACTCACAGATATCCACCCGTCTCTGCCTCCAGAGTACTGGGATTAAATGTGTGCACCACCACGCTTGGCACAGGTTCTGAATTTAACTTGATGTCCAGGTTCTGGAGTTTCAGAAGGCTATGACTCTAGACCATCTCATGTTGGAACCTCCAGTTCAGCATTTATGAGGACAGTGCAAGGTACAAATGTTAGGGCAACAGAGGTGGCCACAATGGGTCTCTGAAATCAACTGGGATGTGGCCATGAGCCCAGAGTCTGTTCATTACCATCCATGTTCTTTTCTGTGTACTTGACCCTGGGCCTCAGGCATCTGCTCTTTTCTTTCCAGGCTGGAATTGATGGGGAAAGCATCGGCAACTGCCCTTTCTCTCAGCGTCTCTTCATGATCCTCTGGCTGAAAGGAGTCGTGTTCAATGTCACCACTGTGGATCTGAAAAGGTAAAGGACCCTGTGTTCGTGGGGGAACACTAGCAAAAGGAAGATTGAGATGGGATGAGAGAAACCCAGTGCCATCCTGTGGCTCCAGGCAGCCCCTGATGGATTCCATCTCATGGCCCAGAACCGTTCCCAGAGTCCAGCCCAGCACAAAGGAAGTTGAAAAAACCAGGACCTCCCTCAGGACTGGGCTTCAGCACCCTGATTGGCAAGAATTGATTAGCAAGGGAAAAAAAAAACAAAGGGCCACTTTGTGAGTGTCTGTCTCCAGGATGGGCACAGGCATCTATAATGTTTATTACAATGGCACAGACATGGCATTTGTGGGACCTGCTGGGTCTTCAGGAGTAACAACTGAGTCTGCAGGGAGTTGGAATCCAGACCATTCCCGAGCCCTTGTCTTCACTCTCACAATCCACAGTGTGAGGGCTCTGGACAGAAGATCTGCACATAAAGGTGCTAGAAGAAAAGAAGTGGCTTGATTGTGTCTGTTCATTTAAGCTTTTGAGGATAATTTTATTCATATTTAATTATTGTGCTGAGGCCCAAACTTGGAGGCTCATGGATACTAGTCAAGTGCTCTATCACGGAGCTGTAGCCCTGGTCCTCTGACTAGAAGTCTTGAAGTATAACAGGTGTCTTACTCCACTGATGCCAACAGTGCCCAGAAAACCTTCACCACATCCCTCTGCCACAGTGGAAAAGCATGCAGCTCAGCCTGTGCTCTATACAGTTTTCCCAGTGCCTCTCACTGTGTCCTGTCTGCCTGTAGGCTGGCCCACCTCTGGCTGCTCTTGCTTCCAGCAGCTCTCGCTAGGGGGCTTCTTCCTTGTAGACAGTCTCCTCTTCCTCGTCTCTTCAAAATTGCAGGATACCCTGCTTCCAGGCTCAACTTCAGCCCCAATTCCTTGGTAAGGCCTCCATACCCCATCACTCTCCAGAGTGGCCTCCCTTTAAACTCACCTAGCTCCTACTATCTGGGCTTAGGCATAATCATTATTTAACATCTCACTCAATTATAACATCTAGAGACGCAGTGCTTTATAGCCACTGAGGGCTTCCCCGTGTAAAATCCTGCACCAGGTAATTTATAAGGGAAAGTCTGTGACTCCATAGTATAGTATATAAAGCTGAGACCAACCTCCTGAGGTGACCTGCCCCCTGTGCCCAGCCAGAAACAGGAGGGGCCGATACTAAGATCCTAGTGTCTGTCATTGGTTTTAGTGCAATAAGAGAACATGCGTCTGCCATGCCGCTAGTGTCTGTAACAACTGAAAAGAGCCGACTCCAGAGCCTGGGGGAGGAGCTTGCTTCCACAGAGGCCAGAGTTTTGAGATTCTCACCTTCGGCCTCTAGATTCACCACCAGTGAAGCTCACTGGAGTTGCCAGCTGGAGCTCAGACTGGGGAAGGGAATCCTTCCAGCATCTTAGGGATGCCTCTGTCTCTCTCTTTCACATTATCAAAACTGGTCCTGCCAACAATGCCTCTGTGAGGCATGCCTGGCGAGTAGGGTCACACTAGTTTACAGTGCTATCTCCACACACATCTCTTCTGATTTCGATTGGCTGGGTGACCTTGAACTTTTCTGAGCCTCGGTTTCTTCATCCATCCAATGATGATTGAAAAGCAATGCTTCCTCACCCACAGGAGTGCTGTGGAGGGTTTAAGGAGGTGGGCTGTGGATTTATGTTGGCGATTATCCTTGACCTACTGCATGAACCTGAAAACCTGGCAGCAATGTTGACAATGCCCAGCTAAGCTTCAGAAGCCAGAGTGGCATGCCCCCGAGGTGTCAGGATCCAGCAGTCAAAGTGCACCCAGTATCCCAGAAACAAAACCACCACCCCATCAACAGATCACTGTGTCTTTAAGCCACAGTTAGCTTCTCAAAAATAAAATCAGTGAGGACTTCCTTCCTTGCCAGTGTCAGTTGCTAAACAGGAGGAACCGGCCAAGAATGTCCTCTCTTTATGTGAAGGGAGGGACACACAGAGTCAACAAAGGCGCTAAGTAAATTAGATTTTAAAAATACTTGCAGCCTTGATTGTCTGAGTTCCAAGTGTCTCAGAATGAGGCTAGAGAGCAACCTGTTGGGAGTGACATGGGAGGAGCGTGTCATTGAAATTCTTCATGTCCCCTCCCCAGCGTCTCCTCCCTAACTGATTAGGCCAGGAATTTGTCTCATTACAGACACCTCTGCCCCTCTTGCTTACAGTGCCTTCAACTCATATTTTCTGCTCCAGTGTCCACAAGGAATGTTGCAAACTCAGAGAACATACCGGACAATGGACACTCCAGGTGCCCAGGGACTCCTGCCATGAGCCCCCCTCTCCTTCCTCAATGCAGCCCCTGGTTCTCCATTTTCTGTTGCCAAGCCCCCCTCCTCTATCCTTGCTCTCACATTTGACCACCTGGCAGGAGGCACTCCAGAACCATGCCCCATCATTGGAAGTATCAGAGTCGAGCCCTCCTTGCTGCTATCACCAGAGGCACCTCCTCAGTGGCAGTCAGTATGCTGTCCAGCCCAAACTGGGCGCACACCAGGCACTGCTGAGGGCAGAGTCCAGAAAGCTGAGCTGCCCCATCATTGGATGTGCGCTCCACACTCTTCCACTCTTCTCCAACATCTACCCCTGCCTCTCTGGATCATGGGGGAAACTCAGCACCTCCGTGTCCACTCTGTGTGTAGTGGAGGTGGTGGGGTTCACTGACACTTGGTTATGAACGTGAGCAGCACACCCAGGGGCCTTCTTTCTTCTTTGTGTTTTGGTATGGGGGAAGGGGAATGAGCCCACAGCTTCACACCTACTAGGCAAGTGCTGACTGTACCACCAGTTTTCTCTCTGCACTTTCTGCTTTGTTATAGCATCTTGCTAAGTTGCACAGGCTAAACTTGGAATTCACTCTGGAGCTCAGGTAGGCCTTGAACATGAGGACTTCCTCTATCAGTTCACCCATCTAGTTGGGGCGATGGGCCTGTGTTCTTGATTCTGAGGGACTGTGTCACCTAAGTACCCTTCTTCTCCAAGGTCTTTCTGGTCCCAAGAAAACTGGTGACAAAAGGAACCAACTTTCCCAAACATATGCTGCATTTACTCAAATCCTGTTAGAAAACTGAAGCTGTAATTCTTTGGAAATCGATCATTTATAATCTGAGATATCCCCCAAATGCTCCCAAGAATTTGTTTTAAAATACTCCACTTCTGACTTGAGAGATTTTAAATTTACATATATTGAACAGAATTTTTAAAATACTTCACAAAACTACCAATTTCCAGTGAGATTAAAATCATAACAGTCACATTTTAAGAACACTTTGTGCTCAAATTAAGATTTAGAACAATAAAGGTGGACTGTGCTGGATTAGTAATAGGTTACCAGTAGGATAGCTACCTCCTAATTCTCCATACTCAGTGGAAAGCTTAATAATTGGTTGGAGTTTTTATCAGCTTCAGGTCAACTTTTGATCTCTACTTTCATCACTAAAATCGTTCCTTCTTTAATTTAAAATTTTATTTTATATGTGTGGGTGTTTTATCTCCATGTGTGTCTGCTCATCTTGTTCTCTGTGTAACTTTGGAGCCTGTCCTGAGATCCGCCTGCCTCTTCTTCCCGAGTGCCGGGTTTAAAGGTGTGCGCCAGCAAAGCCCTGCTATAGTCTTGTTTTTCAACTAATATTTCTTTCAAAAGGATTCCCCACACCAGGGGATATTTACAGACAGGAAAAATATCTTGTGAAGACTAGGAAGACACTGACCAATGTCAGATGTTATTGCTACATATTAAAATTATGTTACTCCCCATGAGGGCGGGGACATGTAAACTGACACAGGTAGATATAAAAGGAAGTGAAAGGAAAAGGAACCTCCCATTTTCTCCTGGAAGCCAGCCACGCTTCTAACTCCTGGTTTGTGCGACTCTCTCTCTCTGGTAAAATATTGTTTTCCTTTTAGCATTGAATATCCTCTTTAACCCAGTGTGTTCATTTTTTGTCTGTGGAGGACAGAATATGATATGAGATCTCCCGGAGCTGGAGTTAGCAGCAGTTGCGATCTTCCTAATGTGAGTGCTGGGAACCGCACTCAGGTCCTTAACCCCTGAGCCATCTCTGCAGTATCAGTGTGTTAATTTGTCAAGCCTGGGATTGTTTCATTCTGCTAATTAGTGGAGCAGTGTTTGGAAGCACAGCCCTTCACAGTTAAAGCTGGGAGCTAATTTAGGCAGTCACTATGATGCGCTCCAGATTTTTTCAGTTGTATTTAGTTTCATCCTGTGAGGTCCCTCTGCCACTTCCTTCCCCTGGATGAGTTTTCTGTGTTGCATTATGGACCCATGGAGCTCTATCCAGCTCTTACTGTCTTACACCCCGTGCCACAAATCTGGTTATGCTACGGGCATGCTGGTTAGCACCAGGCCGGAGTTAAGGTTAAAGTCTTCTCAGACGAGGAGGGCCCCAGACTCCCACCATCACCTGAATCTCCCTCTCTCAACAGAAAGCCAGCGGACCTGCACAACCTTGCTCCTGGCGCGCACCCGCCCTTCCTGACCTTCAATGGGGATGTGAAGACTGACGTCAACAAGATAGAGGAGTTCCTGGAGGAGACCTTAGCCCCGGAGAAGTAATGAACTGCTTCTTTGCAGAGCTACGGAAAGGGAGAGGGTTCGCTGTGGGCAGGTGGATTCCCAAGGGGGCTGCTTCGCTTTGGAGCAGGGACCTCTACTTTTCAGCCAACCTCAAAGTGGGTCCACTAAGGCCAGTTGCCAGGAAGCATTGGCACTCAGTTCCTACCCAGAGTGACTTTAGGGACCCTGGGGAGATCATTAGCTCTCCCTCACCCATCCAGGCTTGCTTCCCAGACTTTGAGTTCATTGTACCTGGAAACCTGAGATGGGGCAGATGATATAATGACAACAGACCAGGAAAGGAACGGCTAGGTGCCAGAAACTGCACCAGGAGTCACGAGTCTGACCAAGTCACAGATAAACAGACAAATACTGACTGCAGCTGGCAGGAGGAGGAGCTGAAGGTCCTCCAGTGGGAGGGGCACATTCGCTGCTGCTGATAATGAGAGGAGAGAGGGGACATAGTCTAAAATATGGCAGAGCCTAGGCTAATTCATTGTAGAATACTGTCATCGAAGATTAAAGTAACCATGCCTCATTGTTAAGCCAGAAAACCGGCACTGCGTACAGATACTTAGGGTAGCCAAGCAAAGATTTCCGGCAAATGCCTTGGAGGTTTTCCTGTAAGTCTTACCATGTGGTGCAAAGGGTTGAGCCTGTGGCTCAGCTGATGGGGTGCTAACCTGGTTATGTGCGAAGCCCCGAGTTGGCACATGCCTGTATTCTCAGCACTCGGGAGGTAGAGTCAAGAAGATTCGAACTTAGTTTTTGGAGTGTGGGAAGTTCAAGATTAGCTGGGGTACATGAGATCTTGTCTAAAACAAAACATCGATAACAAACGGGCTACCGGTTTGGAATGAAGTAGGGGGAGCTAACTGGTGGCAGGTCAGGCAAGACGGAAGGACAGGCTCAGCTGAGCGAGAGGGGCAAGGGACTAGCAAAGGAATCAGAGTCGGACAACCAATCACCCTCTTGCGTTTACTGAAGTTGTGCTTACCTGTCAACATATGTATTTCCCATGTTGTGGCAGGCATTGAACTCCCCAAGTCTTGTCACCCTCTCTCCCATCAGCCCCAGGACCTAGGAGAAGGGTCTATCCTTACCCTCATTTTTATAGTCCAGCATGGTGGGATAGCCCAAGGCGACCAATGATGCCTTACTATTGGGAAATTGCTAATCTCTGCTGTGCTCTGATGAAGCCCTAAGCAAGGACACAGTCTCCTTTAAGGACATCGTTTGTCACCATGTCAGGACAGTTCATTTCCACACCGAGGGGGACGCCGCCTGCAGCCCATTGGAAGCAGCTGGGCAGAGACTTTCAATAAGGGCATTAGTTCAATCAACAGTGCAGCCACACACAACAGCCCGTAGGCCACAGCCAGAAGCCACAGATGTCTTTGGACAGGACATCAGCCAGCCGTTAGGATGGATGTGTCCTGAAGGGGCTGGCTCCTCTTTCTTGTTCCCCTGGGACGCGACCTCACTTGTTGCTTGCGCTACTTGCAAATCCTACATGAATAACTGTTTTCAGTAACTCAAGTGGAGTCCAGACGTCTCTGGGTGAGGTTAATATTGTCTCCCTGGAACAAATCCTTCCATGCAGGAATGTGTGCTTCCTCCCGGACTGGCAAGGAGGACAGGAAAGCTCAAGGCATGTCCCCATGGTCTTCTGTCAAGCTGATAGGGGGATATGCTGCTTGCTCTGCCAGAGGACACATGTGTCCTCTTGACCCCTCCCGTCTCTGCTCTCGCCTGCAGGCCTCCTCTGTGAAAGAACATGCCCCCTCCCAGACAGTGTGCTGCTCTGGTTCTTCATAGCCAGGTTAGCCAAGACCCCTGGCTCTCATCACCTCAGTCAGTGTCCACAAGGGCCACAAAGACCCCGAGATTTATACATTTCACTCTTTGGAACACTCTTCCTGAAGAAGGTTGTTATCAGATTCCTTGTCTATTTTTTTTTAAATCAGGTTGTAAAGCTTCCATAGTCTTAGCAGGACCTAGCAGTGATGGGCAGGGATGTTCTAGCTCCTCCCTGACGCTCACTGGTGCTATGGGTGCTAAGCACGCTGCTTCCAGGTCTTCTTTGGACTTGGGTTAAGTGGAGGAGATGTGATGAAGGGCATTCCTGTCATGTGAGTGACCTGACTATCTAGGTATAGGCCCTCAAAGTGGTTAAATGAACACCTTCAGAGGTCTCCTAAAGTAAGGACCTCAGTGACACATCATCAACTGCCCAGGTTGTCTTTCACAGGGAGTCCCTTACATGGCTCTGTGCCATCAGGTTGGGGCAGGTGCTGCAGTTACAGGCCAGTATCTATCACCGGGTCAATGCTTCAGTTCTAAGCCCAGAATCCTGCCAGTCTGCCCTCAAGCCCCCGAGCACAGCCAACCTCCCACTAACTTGGGCAGGAAGGTGTGGGGCTTACATCCAGAGGCTGATGGTGGAGTCATGTTGCCTGGCTTTCTGCTTCTCCAGGGGGCAGCAAAACTCCCTTTCCTGATGCTGCGAAGCCATGTGTTTCATATCATGCTGCTGTTTGTGAAAACTGCCAGAGAGCCAAGACTTTTCTCCCTTAGTTTTGTTTTTTAAAGGAGAGGAAATCGCATACAAATATTCCGCTTTAAAACAATTGCACTCGGTTCCACGGAGCATTTGGTGTCACAGGGAAGAATCCTAATTTCTAAATGAGACTAATATCCCTCCTTTCTGTGCACCGACCCAGTTAAAGCTCAGGACAAAAGGCGTAGGGGTTCGTGTAGACTCGCTGATGAGACAGACCTGGCCCTTGTCTGTGGTCTCCACCCATGGCCAGAGTTTCCAGGGTTCAGAACTGAGAGGCATGGCTGCCCAGAAAGCAATTGCACATCCTGTGTGACTTTCGGCGAGAATCTCTCCCTTCTTGTGTGATCATCTTGAAAATGAAGGGGTGACACTCTATGTTCTCCAAGATCCCTTTCAACCTTCAAATGTGCCTGCATGAGATCCACAGGGGACTTTTCTAGAGCTGACGGTTTAAAAATAATCCTAGTGGGTAGTCTGGGGTGAGAGTTTGAAGGGGTGGGAGGGATGGAGTGGGTGAGATGACTCAGTACTTAGTGTTTGCCTTGCAAGCATGAAGACAAGAGTTTAGAAGCTCGCTTAACTGCCTGGAAGGCATAGCTGGCTGCCTGTAATTCTATTCTTGGGAAGCACAGGCAGGGGATCCCCCCAGAGCAAGCTGGCTAGCCAGATTAGCCATATCGAGGAGCTTTGGGTTTGATCGAGAGACCCTGTCTCAACCAATGGGAATAAGATGGAAATGCAGTATGATGGAGAATACTCCAAATATCAACCTCAGTTTCCCATACGTATGCACACACATACCCACACACACGTGTCACACATAAAAACATGAACACACACACACACACACACACAAAATTAAGGAAGGAAAGCATAGAATCCAGGAGGCTAAACAAAAGCCAGCTGGTGACATGGTGTGCTGTGCCATCAGTCAGGTGGCAGGCATGCACTGGATGTTAACAAGGCTCAGAATCAAGGCACTGTGAGTTCATTACTTTATTAAAAATGTAAATAGGTCTACAGCAGTAGAGCAGAATCATGCTCTCCTATCTCCCTGAGAGGCAGAGCCATAGCTTCAGAAGCTCCCACAGGATGCTGCATGTGTGGATGTGAGTTCTGGAATCTGCCTCATGGTTTCAGTCTATGCTGCCAGGTGGCGCTCTAGTGTAGCAACATGAGGTGGTGGCTTAGTAGGACAAAGGCATCTGCCACCTAGGGAGATTCTCAGCGAATGGTGTAGCTGTATCTACGTGGCCTCCAATGTGTCTTCAGCAGAGAAAAGCAAAAAGAGGGGCACGCATACTACTTCCAAGGACCAGAGCCATGAGGAGTTACATCACCCCACCCATTGGCTAGAATCTAGTCACATGACCACTGGAACTGGAAAATGTGGGAAAGCCCCATGCATATCTGGTAAGCACATTTGCTGCTACAGGCATATTTAAAACAAAACAAACAGAAAAGCACTTCTCTTATTATGATTCCCAGGCGCTATGTGATATTTTGCAAGGCAGGAGGAACAAATGTCTGTTCAGCTCAAGCAGGGCACCACAGCAAACTAATGAAGTGATTCCACCCAAATCCAGCTTGGTGAACCAATGGGTTTATTCGGATTACTTACAGAGGCATGGGCATCTCAAAGGCGAACCCAGTGTGGTAACTACATGTGAAGTCACTGCTGGGTGACCACTGCATCCCTGGAACTCCTGTACAACTCAAAGTCAGCTCTACTGAGGAGTTTTGTCTTCCCCTGGTAACTGAGAGCTGGCCCTACACATACATTCCTGAGGATTCTTTTCAAGGGCAGTGTCTCTGACATTAAACTTGCCATGTCCCCAAGAGCAGGACAGTCCTAGCTAATGAGGTCATTGAAGAACAAAGAAGTGACAAGATGACAAATGATTTGTGTGTGTGCACGTACACATACATGCAAGTGTATGCTCATGTATGTACACGTGTGCATGGAGGCCAAGGTCAACCTCAGTGTCATTCTTCAAGTGACACCTCCTCTCTTGTCTTATGACACTGGGTCCTTTTCTTGGTCTAAAATTCACCAACTAGTCTAGTCTGGCTGGCCAGCAAACCCCACCTCAAAACACTGGAATAACAGACATGCTACCACCCTCACCTTTTTGACATACCTTCTGGGAGTCAAACTCAAGTTTTTATCTCTGTGTCTTTACTGACTGAACTATCACTCCAGATCACAAAGACTCACACGTATTGTTAATGATAAATGGCCATTTGCCTCCATCTCTGCCCATTTCTGCCTGGCCATGTACATAATGATTTCATGAAAAGAATGGTTTTGTTTGATTTGTTTTATTTACTAATAATGAGGATTACTCATATGATGATGATGTTGGGTTATTCCCATATATATGAGCTTAACCTCCTTATTCAGTCTCAATGCTATGGGTCCTAAGTCTGGTCTCTCTCTCTCTCTCTCTCTCTCTCTCTCTCTCTCTCTCTCTCTCTCTCTCTCTCTCTCTTACTTCAAAATGAGAAGCAGTGTAAGGGATGAAGTGGGTGTCGTTGCAAATCTCCCTCCACACTTGGAATCCAAGTGATATAATCCCATGACCTTTGGGTGGGGCTGGATTAAGTTACTACCACACATGAGTAATAAGCACTAGAGAGGCATTTTAGAAGCAAACAGGGGACACCCTCTCTTTGGAGAAATGAGTTAGGCATCGACTGGCTCTGGACAGCTAGGATTGTGATGGTGACAGCAGATGGGTATTTTCATGACCCTGTGTCACTGTATACCATTGGTGGTGGTTCCAGGAAGAGGCCTATGGATGGCATTCTGGTCCCTTGCCCAACATGCTGAGTCTTTCTGAACCTCACTGGCCTCTGGTTTCCTTTATTATGATTGAGGACTGAGTGACCATCCTTCCTGTAGGATGACTCCAAAATCCCAGAAGGTGGCAGTTCAGTCAGGAAAGAAAATTATGCACCCTGAAATGTAAACAGGCTTTTCCCTAAAGAGCCGCATCCTCACGGTTTCATAGAACATCCTACCTTCCGTTCCAGGTACCCCAAACTGGCTGCAAGACACCGGGAGTCTAATACTGCAGGCATTGACATCTTCTCCAAATTCTCAGCCTACATTAAAAACACCAAGCAGCAGAACAATGCAGGTGAGTGACACTCCTAAGGACGCCAGAGCAGTGCCTGCTTCATGCCAAGTGGTGCATCTTTGGTTTGCCCAGGGTCATCTCGGACCACCAAGCCAGAGAAGCTTCTGGAACTGATGTTGCTTGTCACTTTTTCATCTTCCTGACTCAGAAGGGAGGGCACAGAACCTGCTGCCTGCAGTGTAGGAGAAAATGACTCAGAAGTAGGGTGTAGCTTGCTTTGGAAAACCACCCTATTGCACAGCAGAAGGCACAGCATGGAAGGGTTCTTGGTGCTATGCATTGTTCCAAGACGTATGACACCATCTGTGTGCACAATGGGACACAACTTCCCACTTCTTTGTAGTACCGGAAAGGTTTTTTTCAGGAGCTGACAGGAAGCATGAGAAGGGCAATGAGGGTCAAAATTTGGTGAATGCTATAGACCTAATTCTCTTCACCATGAGTGTGGGGGGTCTTGGGAAGGGCATCTGAAAGCCAGGCTCTCTCCTCCACATGGCCCTTCCTCCCTGGCACTGGTTACAAACCTAGGACCTGCTTCTCCCATGATGCCCTATCAGAGGGGTCTGAGCATACCACACTTAAGCTCCTGGGAATTTCTGTCCTCATTCAACATCTTTCTTTAAAGATGTACTGAGGTGTCTGAATGGGGTGGGGGTGGGGGGGTGGAACCTGAAGAGTGGTGGCCAGACCGTCAAAGCAACTCGGTGAAGAAGATGGAGAGAGAGGATGAGCTGGATTCCTGGGGACCAGTACCAAGCCAAGCAGAGGAAACACCATATGAGTCTTTATGAACGAAGCAGGCAGTGATGCACAGAGGACCACAGGAAAATACCAGGTCCTCTTGGAGGTCAGGTCAGGGCATGTTTCTGAGTACCAGTGATAGAGAGAGAAAAAATGGTAGCTAGTGAAAATAGAACCAGCATAGCAGGAAGGGTATATACCTGCCAAAGCTACTAGAGTCTGGGTTTGAACCTGGAGGTTCATAGAGATTCATACTGAGTTCTGAACAGAACCAACATAGCAGGAAGGGTATATACATGCCAAAGCTACTAGAGTCTGGGTTTGAACCTGGAGCTTCATAGAGATTCATGACTGAGTTTGGGGCAGGAAGAAGGTGGGCAAAGTCAAGGAAGGGTCAGTTGGCTCGGTCTGAGAACACAGTCCACCATGGCAGAAAGTCAAGATTGCCGGGTACCAGGTCACTTCGTGCCCACAGTCTTCTGTGTCTGTTGGTGGAGGAGGAAGGCTCCAAGCCACACAGTCCCATTAGAGGACAGGAGGCATAGTCTGGTCTAACCAAAGGGAACAGGAAGAGCTGGTTAATGGGCTAGCAAAATGAAAAGCAACTTCTACAAAGGCACCTGAAGTAGATGTCATCCTCTGAGAAGGTTTCTAGAAGGACGCCAACTAGAGCTAAGGTCGCCATGTGCAGCTGGGGAAGATGGGAAAAGGCTAGGGCCAGAGGTGGAGAAAAGAAGCCAGAAACTCGGTGCCAGTCTGCGTGTCTTTGATCACATCCCTTGGACAATGACAGCTGCTCAAGGACATTTAGAGGCTGTGAGAGAGAAATGTTTGGAGGACAAAAGACAATATGTGGAAAATATTTTGAGCATACTTGGTGATTTTGTTTCCTTGCAGTTTGGATTCTGTAGTTCACTGAATAACACCCCTCCCCTCAAAGGTCATGTGTACCTGTCTACCTGGATGCTCAGAACATGACCTTATTTGGAAATGAGGTCTTTGTAGATGAGATTAACTCAGGTTCTCAAGATGAATTCAGCCTGCATTTAATGTGGTCCCTAAGTCCAATGACTGTTGTCCTCACAAAAAGATGACAGGACACAGAAATGCAGAGCAGAGGATCATGGGAAAACAGAATCGGAGAGTGGAGCCATGCAGCCACGGCCACAGCCAAGGCTTTCCAGATGAAACAGGAAGAGCAAAGGAAAGGTTGACATTTCAGGTTGGAATGTTCTGTCTTCCAGAACTTTGAGACATATCCCACAAGTTTAAGTCACCCAGCTAGTGGTCTTTCATTGCTATAAGTCTGAGGAGACTAACTCAACCTGTGATGGGTATTTTTGGATTGCAGTGACTAATAGATGACAATAGCAACTTCTAATGAAAGGAGAGTCATGCTGACTCACGATTTGAGGGTACAGTCCATCTCGGCAGGAAGGCACAGGGCAGGGTCTTCAGGCCTCTGTTCACAGTGTACCCACAGTCAGGAAGCAGGTGGAAGCTGATGTACTCAACTTGTTTTCTCCCTTTATCCATTTTATTAAGTCCAGGACCCAACCCTAGGATGGTGCCACCCACATCTGGGTGGACCTTCCTTCCTCAGTCGAGCCTCTGTGGAAAGCCCCTCAGAGACACACCCAGAGGTCTGTCTCCTAGGTGATTCTAAACCCAGTGAGGCTGTCAATCAAGGCTAAGTATCACAGCAGTCAGAACTTCCTGGAAAAGAACAGTTATTGACACTTTGCTGGCTCAGGGCCTCGAGGGCAAGGAGAGGACCAGGGACTTCCCTCATATCCTGGGCCGGCCGGCTCTTGAATTCTGTTTCTTCAGACTCTGCATCCAGTGTCTTTGACTCTCAACCACAAATATCTTCCTCCATACTTGTCAGAGTGCCCTAAGACAGTTTATCTCATTTGAATCTCCCAGACTTTTTAAATTATAAACGGTATTTACATATTATCCACATTTACAGTTCTGTTACGCCCGAAGCCAAAGCAACGGTTTCCACAGAATACCTCGTGTCGATTTCCTATAAACTCAATACTCTCCAATTTTCATTGTTTCCCTTCTTCTGTTTCACCCTGGTTTTCCCCATAATGGGCTTTGCCCTTCTGACTCCTTCCCCTAACTCATTTGCACATTTCAAAGCTCAGACATGTCTGCTTCCTCAATAGCTGTCCCCCACATGCTCCGTTCTCGTCAGCCCCACACTGAGATAGCCCGACTTACCCACTGTCCCACACCCCGTTCAGTTATTTTTCCCTCCTGTCCCATGCCCAGTTTTGGTAAGCAGGATTCTAAAGTCCTTAGGCTCAGTGACCCAGAGGCCCATGTTTCTGCAGGCCAGCCTTCCTCGTACAGACAACCTCGTTCCTCTGAGGGAGCCCAGAGTTACACTCTCAAGCCAAAGAGAGCTCTATGCTCACAGTCCCCATGCTCCAGGAGAAAGGCCATGGCTCTCTCCATCTTCTTGGAGTTCCAGGCTGGAATTTCCAGACTTTATGGAATCCATCATTTTGCCCTTTTTCTTGCTGGCTTTTAGGTTAAGCATCTGATTTTCCAACATCTTACCTCTTCTTAATTCTCTGTGCCATTTCTCTCATTTTCATTTTTCAACTTTGTGTTCTTGTTCATGTGTGTCAAGTTATACATGTGTGGGTAGAAAGTTGTGGTGTGGGGTTCCTTGGCCCCAGCCTGGCCCCAAATGAACACGTGAAACTTTTAATTATGTAACTGTTAACTGGTGGCTTGGGATTCTTTTTGGCTAGCTCTGTCTTAATTATTAACCCATTTCTATTAATCTATATATTTCCACGTGGTCTTATCTTAAGGGAGAAGGGTTTGGATCTCTAACTCCTTTGGCGGCTCACATGGTGACTACTAAGCATCTCAGCGGAGAAGAGAGTGATTTCCTGTTTGTCCCTGCTTATATCCTGATTCTGCCTAGCTACATCACTTATTGTCTGGCCAATCAGCCAATCAGAGTTTTATTCATAAACCAATAAGAGAAACATATACACAGAAGAACATTCCCCATCATCTCCTCTTTCCTGTCTAAATAAAAAGAAGGGTTTTAGCTTTAACATAGTAAAATTATATATAACAAAACAATTATCAAGTAAGAACTATAGTTATAATATTTAGTCAATTAGCATTTAGCAAGATTTAAAGAAAATATTCTAGCATCCTATCTTTGTGAGTCTAAAGTCTTATATGTAACTTATCTATTATCATAACTAATGAAACCATACAATAACTGTCTTCAACTCCATCAAAGACCACAGAAGGATAATATATAAACTATAGAATTTACAGAGACATCTCGTTTCCTGAACAGTCACCCAAAGTTCCTCTGTAATGTTGGGGCATCCATCTTCAGCCCATAGGCCATAATATGTCTGGCAGACTTCTCAGCAAAGCAGGAAATCTGAAACTGTCCCACCTGTGTTAGGCAGTTTGTCAGCCATTTTTCTTTGTGTCTTGCAGAATGTTCAGGAAGGTGTGCATGTACACATGTGTCTGCATGTATGTGGGGGCCAGAAGTCAATCCCAGGTGTTGTTCTTCAGATGGTATCCCCACATCTCTTGCTGCCCTGAAACTCACTGATTTGGTGAGGAATGCCGGCCAGTGAGCTTCAGGAGTCCATTAGGCTTCTAAGTGATACTGTGTCCAGTATTGGGGATCAAACTGAGGTCCTCATTATTATGCAGAAATCACTTTACCAGCAGAGCTATCTCCACTTCCTCCCCTTTTCTTTCTTGAGCAGAGTCCTCTCTTCCTCCTTCCCTGAGACACACTGTTGACAGTCATAATGTAGTCCCAACACCACCACCAAGAAATCTCAAGAAAAGCCAGAACTGCAAATGCTATTCATCATGGTCAGTCTTCCCTCCAGTTGCTTGCTGGCTTTCACAGCTCCTGTCCAAATTCTCCCAACTACTGCATGTCAGCCCTCATCCATGGGAAATGCTCCCCGCTCATCCTCAAGACAATTGGCCATTAATTTGTATATTCACTCTTTCATTTAGCAATTCAACAACATTCTATGGGACTGGGAAAATGACTCAGGGAATAAGAGTGCTTGCTCTTCACACATAAGGACCTGAGTTCAAATCCTCAGCACCCATGTAAAAGGCTGAGCATGGCTACATCATGTGCCTGTGATCCCGGATTTGGGAAGCAGAGATAGGCAGATCCTTAGAGCTTGCTGGTCAAGCAGCCTGGTGGAAAAGGTGAGCTTCTGTGTCAGCAAGAGACT